GAAAGTAGAATGAAGCATAATATATCCGAAGCAACAAATAGCTTTTGTGAAGATCTCACAATTATGCGAGTTAAAAAATGTATAAAACATGATAACATTATGTATTTTGGCTCAGGTAGTGCTATGGAACATGATATAGCATTGAAATGTAATGTTTCAGTACATTCAGCTAAAACTTATAATCGAATAGTGAAATGTGGTTGTCTGTATACGTCATGCTTACAACAGAATAATCGCTCAAATAACTCTTATGCTCAGTTAGTCGATGGGAAGTACATCAAAATTATTTCGTTTATTCTTGATATTGAATGTAACATTGCACTTATGATATGTAATAACATAAATGCGGTACCAATGCTTGAAAGTAATTATTTATGTAAAATCATAAGTATTGACATGGACTTGCGCACAGTTGCAACAAAAGACATAGAAAAAATTTGTGTATATATAAATATAAAAAACGATATGTACATTGCTGCTGTGCCAAACTTATTATTTTATTAATAATTTGTTTTCTGAACATGTGGTTATACAGTTATCTTTCCGCATGTTGTATTATTTATAAATTATATATTATATAAATACATTTCGAATATTAAATCCCAATAAAGAAAGAATATTAACAATATAAATATTATAATTTCCTATTTAACAATGTCATTGTAATATAAAACATGTAAATGAAATACTTGAATAAAAATTTATAACATTATAATATGGATATAAAATATTTATAATATGGATATTATGTTATACTAGTTTAATTATATTTATTATAATTTAAAAATTCTAAGAAAAATTTTTTTTACTTGTCACATATGATCTGTTAATCTCGATCTCATATGAGGAAATTTTCAATAATTTTATTTAAGAACTTATTTATGTTCTCAAATACATTTTTTGTTGAGTTCTCAATTGTGACCTCAATAGAATTTTTTCAGTAGGGTATCTATTTAAAAAAAATATGTGAAATCTTTTAATACTGCGCCAATTACAAAGAGAGAATATATATAGGTATATATATACATATATACCTTAACAAAATTATTATTATATCACAAAATTGCGTTACCAAACTCAATCCAAGTGATGTATACCAACCTAAGTGGTAAGTAGCCTTATTTCCTAAAGGTCTTTCTATCAATCCAAGTGGTAGTAGTTTTAATTCTTCTTGATAAAATTATAATATTACAAAGAATTGTTTTAATCACAAAAAATTAAAGAGGTAACATTATAAAATGAAAATATTTAATTAAAATAAAATAAATAAATTTTTTTTGTAAAAAACTTGGCGCTGGCTGCTTTTTTAAGGTGTATCCAGACAAACTTGCATAGGTGCATAAGCATATGCATAAAAAGATCATGGATTGGTCTATTTCCTTTTGCATATATATATGAACCAATCAATTTCTTACGCTTATGTTTGTCCCGGGATATATTCAGCATTTCTTTATACTATCGAATTTTTTTTTGGAAGCGCGTAGACTTGCAGGATAAGGGGGCAAATCGCGATCCGGCGAAAATTTGCTAGCCGCTTTGCTTTCATTTCATTTATGTATCAAAAAAGGAGTGCACAATATCGAATATGTTCTACGAATACATATAAATGTCTTCGACACAATGCTGCAAAATGTAAACGTGATATTCGATGAATGACATTATCATACATTTATGAGAGAAATAAGTCCGTGTTACGCTCGTGTTATGCTTGTTAAAAGAAAAATACAAAATTCTCTCCCGCCATGTCTATTGCCCATCGGAATTTATCCCTCTGAGTCTTGGTGTAGATCTTATCGACTGGGATTTTGTGCTTCTTACACCATGCAACAGAAATTCTAGGATCGAGATAGTACTCTTTGGAACTCAAGGTATTCCAGTCTTTGTTCTCTTCTCGGTCGGTCGCCTGGACCTCCAGCTTTGTTAACTGATCCTTCAATCTTTTCAATTGTTTCTCTTTCTTCTTTTTTTTCTTTTGTTCAGCGTTCATTACTTGCAACTCGCATTCGATTATGGCTTCTTTCTTCGCATCAATCTTTGCCTTTAGATTCTCCATGGATTTCGCGTATGTTTTTGGCACAGAACGCCGATGGTTACACAGTTTGGCAACGGCGCGATTGGCTCGATTGTACGAAAGAATCTTCTCTGCCTCTGTGTCGTTCGGGTCCGTTAATTTGTCAAGCTGTTGCTGGAACGTCCACGACGCTTTATAAGTTCTGAATACTTTGGCGGTAAGACCCTCCATCAGCTCGTTCAGATGTTTATTCATCACAGTGGTGTTGAGATCATTGAATAGATCATCCCCGGGTGATTTATTTTTCATAAAGCGTTTCAGATTCTTAAAGACGAGCTTTTTCACTGGCACTTCGTTGTAATATCGAATAGAATCTTTACCTGTGAATAATTAATTCCATAGAATCACGTAATTACATTATATTATAATATTA